TAGTCGATCAGTGCTGAAAATATCTGACGGGTGACATAAGTGAGTCATGGAGATAACTAACTGACGATATAGACAGAACCCTTTATGATAACTGACGGGTGAAAAAGACAGTAAAGGAGAGGGCAACCCTGTGATGATGTAGTTGGAGGAGTAAAGAGATAAACACGGTAACAAGAGGATAAAGATGTGTGAAAACAGGGGGGGCAGAAAGGCTACTGAGGAGGTGTGTGCGAGTGTTGGCACACCTGACCTGCACTGCGACATCCTCCTCCTCCTCCCTGTAAGTTTGTCTGCATGTCTGGCAACGCTCACGTCTGCCAGCCACACACATAGAAAACGGGAGTCTCAATAACAACACGGTGCTGTGAGCTTAAAGTCCTGATTCTCAACGCTGTTTGTAGAGTATTTTCGCACCGAGGGTGTCAGCGGCCGAGGTGGAGAGGAGTAAGTATTCCTGGACCATTTATAACCTGTTGGAATCTTAATGGGTGTTTGGACTTAGTAGTATTTAGCAGTTAAATATCGTTGGCTTGAGACCCACCACTCCTGGCCGGGGGTGAGACGTGCCCTCAGGTTAACTATGGAATCCCCAGTTACCTGACGTCGTTATGGCGTGTTGACAGTGTTGCCATAACCGCGTCATATAGTCCCTGGCGCGTCGATTGTTCAAAAGACTCTGGATCTGATGGCGGGTTTCAATGTAGAGGTGAATGAGACTGTTGTTAATACATGACCTTGAGACTACGACGGGTGTTAGGGAGTCGGAGAGACAAGAGGGCCAAGCAGAGTCTTCACAGCTGTTCCAAGCCCAACCACACACCCTCCCTACCACAACTCATTCGTTAAACTTCCTACATTTAATCACACATTCTACCATACACAATCTACCACAATCTCTTCCCTCACCACACACACACACACACTTGTTGTTCCTACCATGCTTCCTACCACAAACAACCTACCACATTCTACATTAGTACCCGCCATACACCAGCCACTACTCCACGTCACTACCACACACTACACACGTCACTACCACACACTACACACGTCACTACCACACACTACACACGTCACTACCACACACTATACATCAGAGTCCATCTTCTTCCCATAATATCTTCTCCTACCACACTCACACCGCACTTCCGCTCATACACTACCCGCAGTAAAACCTCCATGTGTGTGTGTGTGTGTGTGTGTGGTGGTAAGGAATTTCTCATTTTCTTTTTAATTTTAGTCAAATTAACAAGGTCCCGTGACATGTTAAACCGATTGTCGCTATTTTCTTCTTTAAATTTGTGATGGGTCTCCAAAAGTGTTGTGTCTCCACTGTGTCTCATGAACTTCAGGATGTATTGGTAAATGGTTTTCAATATCAAGTTTATTGGCTCAGCATCTAAGGCACAGAAACATAGTGCTGGTCGTATTAGTGAAGGTTAAAAGTCACGGATCATTTTTTTTTAACCTAGGTTTGCCTTCTCATTTAATTCTTTGCTGCTGTTAGGTCTCTCTAAAGATACATTAATTGAAAGTTTTCCTTGTTAAATGTTTCCTTAACCTAACCTAACCTAACTATATCTACCTGGACAATAGTGTTTCTTTCATTGTTTATTCATGGGTCAAGTTTATTTTGATTTGTTATATTTTGAATTTATTTATTTATTTATCTATAGTGAGACTCAGGGAGAGATACATCAGCTGTTGTGAGTAAGGTGGATTTATTTTTGTTTGTTTGTCTGTTTACATTACACAATTGACGAAACAAAGTAACCAAATCTAACAGTTTCTATAATTGTTACTATAATGTAGAATGAGGGACTGTTTATTATTATCGTCATGTTTTTGTTATTTTACTTGTGTTAACTTGTATTTATGGATGTTATAATCATTCATATTTATTATTGGTAGTAGTAGTAGGCTACTGTCACTGAATGCCGCATAGATCTGCGGCTCAACTAATTTAACACAGATAGGATAGCTACTTATGTATTAGGATATTTAATATTAAGGTAATTAAATGGTGGCGAAGGTGTGGCTATTGGGGGAGGCTGGAGGCCACTTAAAAAAAAAAAGAAGTAGTAGTTGTAGTAGTATATTATTAATGTTATTATTATTATTATTATTATTATTTATTTCTTCGTTGATATATACTTTTCCCTGTTATGCCCCTGGGCAGTAAGGCAGGTGGTGAGCTGATCCATAACATTCAGCACTTAGCGGGTTACTCCACTACCCTGGCAGGAGGCTTGTTCACCAGAGTCAAGTGCACCTGATAGTGTATAATACTCCTTTATTACGGAGGTTATAAGGGCGAGTGTAGAAGCTGGGTACTGATCCCGAACTCAAGCCGAGACACAAACCCGTGATTCTCCGCTTGTTACCTTCGGGTTAACATAAGTCAAGTGAGGTTTTGCTGCAGTGTGATGGGTCTTCTCCTGTGTCGTAGTTTATATCATTATGTCGTTTTACTTACTAATTAAATCTCCTGATCAGTGATTTGCATAAAGAGATTAAATGTTTTGTGGTATTCAGAGGACAG